CTCACCGTCACGCGCCTCGCCGCCGCCGCCGCGTCCAAGTGCGTCTGGCAGAGCCGCCGCCCCGACCGCGCCCGCAACTCCCTCCCGGGCCTCGTCCTCGCCCTCTAACTGCGGAAAGCAATGTACTCCTACTGTGTAGGTTTTTTATTGTGGGATTACTTACCACATTTCCGCACGTCTCGTGGACAGAATGATGAATTGGTAAATTCCCTTTGTGTGAAGGGTGAGTAAAGTCGGCACACTTGCAAGTTTTCAACGATTTCGAAATTTCTAGATGAAGCGCAAAACCTTCCGTCCGGGTTTTCATTGTCCTATAGACTATAGCTATAATAAGACAGCGCGACCCACTAGTGCATGATGTGTGTGTATTTATGCCGATTTCATATGGCTGATCGAAAGCACTCATCGTTTTGCTTTTGCCTCCACCGTGGACACAGATTGATCACGAAATGTCAGATGAGCCAAAGCAAAAGGAAGATAGTGGAGTCCCAATGTCGTCACGTCGTGGTACCAGTAGGAGAGTGAAGCTGGTTATATGATCTTGGATTCCACCGATAATATGTATCACTTGTCATTTCAGCAAATTCAGTGGAATGCAGCGCGAGTGCTGGTAGATAACTAGGGGAATTGTTTGGATTTTGAGGTTTAAGACAAGACTGCAAGACACACGAGAGATGTGAGCGATTCACCAGCCTCAGGTCAATGAGTTTGGATCTTTTGTGGGAAATGTCTTTTGGGAACAAAATTGTTGAAATAATTTGAATGAAACACAAAAATATCAGTACATGCTGAAATTAATTAAAAATCGAAATTTACTAAACATGATTCCATGGTGTGACCCAAGGGAGCTAAGCCAGCACTGACGAAACCGGGTACGTATATAGATGATGTGATATGGTGATGGGATTGTGACCTGATTTTGGTTGCTTATGATAAATGTATCCAAGGCAGCAACGCTCAACGTACGTCAAGCGATCAAAGATGTTTGCAAGACGGTTTATGCTTCCCAAGAGTACGTCAAGCGATTAAAGATGTTTGCAAGACGGTTTGTAAGACGTTTTTGCGGTGAAGTTACAGAGGTCGTATATGCAGTAGAGACGACACCACAAATGCGCCATTGGCCTAGTTTTTATTGTAACTTTTGAGACAGAAATCGGCCGGTTGATCGAGAACCACAGACGTATTTTTTTTTTGATCAAAGAAGGGCTTTTCCCCTTCCGATTTTCATTACTGAAAACCAAGGTTACATAGTTCAAAAGAACGAGCAGCACACAAACAGGTTCCACAGCACATCCTAAAGGCGAACGCAACCGGCCAACATAACCAACACAGGCCCAGCATGAACAAGGTCCATCAGCACAACTAAACAGAGATAAAGATAAAAACTAGCGACTAGCAGGGCAACCACAGACGTATATATTTGATGATGGGGAAGGGGGCGTGTTTAGGGTAACTAGTGTTGGTGATAACTGGGATAGGTAGGCAGGTAGATCGATCATGTATGCTGATAAAGACAGATAGATCAATCAGACGTATCAAACACCGATCGAGATCATACTCGTAATTCTTAAGAGCCGTGTGCATTAGTGAGAGAGGATCATACTGGCTACATGTGGACAGCGACACGTACGTAGACTAACGAATCTGCATCTTCCATCGATCTTGGGTCAGTTTGATGCTTGTGTGCGTGGCGTGCAGTGCAGTGCAGAGATACTACTACACCATAGAGATATATTTATGCAGATACGTTACATCTCGTTGAGTCGATCAGTGATGTGTGTGCCTTGATAATCGATGGCAGGTGGAGTAGCAGGCCAGGCCCAGCTCAACTAATCGCGCATGCCAGCTCGGATATTCATCAGCAGCAGTAGCAGTAGCTGCACATCGCTGTTACGAGAAACTGGCACTGTGCACGTGTGTCTACAATAATAATGAAAGTAAATTAAGTAGCACGACACGATCGATCTGTTGCGGCGGTGATGGGTGCAGATAAAAGCCATGGGGCGAGGTCGCGAGCGGGTGGTTGGTTTGTGCTGCGCAACGTCACCGTCGGCTGCCCCTTTTCCATGTCCATCAATCCAGTGTAGTAGTAGTGCGGTAGACTAGACTCGCACCGGCCCCGGGTGGCACTCCCCCAGCAGCGCTAGGTTCCAAAGCTGTTGGTTGGGCTAGCTAGCGGGCGCCACTATGCGTAGAGCTCCACTGCTACTGGATGTACGTGCTGCCATGCCATGGCATGGTCTGCGTGCGTGCGTGCGTGCGTGCGTGGCGGACAAGTGACCGGCCACCATGCGCCAAGGAAGCAGGCATGGCCACACACGTTGCTGGACCGTAGCCTGTAGGATCGGAGGAGCGATGGACCGGTCCAGCAACGAGCAAACGGACGAACTGGCGGCCGCTCCCTCCCAAGCCAATCATGCATGGGTCGGTGGTCGCTGTGTCCTGCGCTGCAGGCGGATCTCGTTGGAAAGCCACGTCAGGGAATCGGTCGACCAATCGCCCGCTCAAATGGAACCTCCCCAAGAACGCACACCGCACATGCAGTGGCCGGCCGGCTCGAAAAAAAATTATATGAGACCAGGTCTCATATAAAGCAGGTGAGACCCGCCCAGATGGATGACACGTGGCATTCATAAATCACAAAGCATCTAATCTTTTTCCCCTGATTTTAGGTGGGGGTGGCGTAAATGCTTTGTGATTTATGATATGCCACGTGTCATCCATCAGGATGGGTCTCACCTGCTAATCCGTGAGACCTGGTCTCATAGAATTTTTTTTCGGGCGGCTCGATCGTGTATATACTCATGGCCCTCTCGCTGCCAGCATGCAGTAAAAAAGACGAGATAACGCTGCGCTCATATCAACTCTTGTTTTCACCGTTACTCGATCAGTAACCAATCCAAGAGCACAAGTCTACCTAGCAGTGGCGGAGCTACACTAGAAAATCTGGGCGGGTCAAACTGAACGAAAGTCCCACTGTTTTTACTCTGACGACCCATTTTGCTCCCATATCTTGCTGAATTTTCACTGAGCTGTACGGGGCATAGCACAATTTTGCTTGGCGGTAGCTCCGCCAGTGCTATCGAGCAAAGTCGTCAAAACGCCCATCGCCCAGACGTGCATGGACCGCGCTTCGTAATTTTCCGAAGACATGGCCAGATTTGGCAAAACGCACGGCATCTGGGCAAAATCTTTCAGCAGGCATGGCAAATCATGGCAAAAACGTGAGCATGATAAGATTTGCCATGTTTGCTGAAGGAATTGGTCATGATCCCAACAATGTAATATGTCAAAAAATAACATCAGATTTGTCATGTTTGAAGATCTAACATCAGATTTAAAAAATTACCGTTCGTTGTGCCTATGGGAGTTGTAAGGTGGAAAAGCCTCTAAACGTAGCATGAACCATGGTGTAGAAGAATCTGAAAGTTTTGTGCGCCACAACAATTAGCTCTGGGGTGCACTCTAAAACAGAGGCCCACAACCTCCAAATATGGAGGAAGAACCATTCTTCTTGGAGCTGCCTACAAACATTATGGAGTGTGAAGAGGCGACAACGACTATGCTTGAGTGTGTTTTGCCCACTGTTTGCCCATCTACCTAGCCTCTAAATTGATGGCTATTATGGATGGAACGGCATGGGACGACTGAATTGGAGTTGCTCTAAGGGTAGTAGGCAACATCCCTTTTATGTCCATCAGAGTTGGGTAGTGCTTCTACGTGCAACTACAAAGCGGAGTCTTATAAAACAATATCATGGACTACATGCATGAAGAAAACAACGTAAATCGCCTCAAAATTTATAAAGCACCCTTCTTCTTTCTCTTACTTCCTCACCCTCAACGAGCCAGCCCTAGCCAAACCACCTGCCACCGACACTTGACGGACACTATCGCCCTAGCCATATATATAATCCCCATCTATCATTGTCCTGCGTTGGCAGCCACCCCACACCCCAGAACCGTCAAGCCTTCACCTTGACTCCACCTGCGGCACCATGGCCAGCCATGGCGTCGTCGACTTCGACTCTTTCCTACTGAGTCATTGCTAGTGACTCCTCAATCTTCCCGTCTTGAACATGAGTGAGGTTAGAATTTGTTTTTAGGCAACTATACATTTGTTCCATAATGTGGTGGATATAGATTTTTTTTTTGTAAAGTCAAACCACACAAATTTTGATCAAGTTTTTGGAGAAAACATACACATCTAGAATGTCGCGCATATATCATTATATTCATTATAAGAAGTAGTTTCATATTTTACATATTTGGTATTGTAGATATAAATAATTCTCTAGAAACTTCGTCAAAGTTTGTAAAATTTGACTTAATTTTTTATATATGGACTACATTATGAAATAGAGGGAGTACCAAATAGCAAAGGCGGAAGAAAAAAACATAGACCTTTCAAAAAATTTGACGCGAATAGACCCTTATTTTTTTATCTCAGTTTCCACGGGGTCAAGTGGCGAACGGGTCCCTTTCCTCCACTCCCCCTCTCATTGGTTCCCCACCGGTGGGCCCCACACACCCATCATCCGACTCAGCAGCGGGGCCCAACTCGAGCCCGATCTGGCTGCCGTCCACCCTGGCGCGCACGCACGGGCCCATCGATCCATCATCGCGCGCACCCGCCTGCTATAAAACGCGCCCCCCGCCGCTCCGGACACTCCAATCTCTCGGAGCCTCTGCACCCACCGTATCTCGTTGCCTCTCGCCGAGACGATCGTCGCGAGCAGCAAGTAGTTGAGATCAAGCCGCCGCCGCCGCCGCAGTCTTCTTCTTCGTCTCCGACAGGAGGAGCGGCCGGAGCTGGCTAACCTGGATCAGCTGGAGGGCGGGTTCGCCTCCGCGCGCGGGCACGAGACCGAGGAGCAGCGCAACAAGTTCCTCGTGCTCCGCCTCTACGAGGCGCTCAACGGCCGCGACCACGCCGCCGTGCACTCCCTCCTCGCCCCCGACCTCGAGTGGTGGTTCCATGGCCCGCCCGCACACCAGCACATGATGCGCCTCCTCACCGGCTCCAGCTCCCCGTCCTCCTCCTCCTCCTTCCGCTTCGAGCCGCGCTCCGTGGACGCCTTCGGCTCCACCGTCATCGCCGAGGGCGTCTCGGCCGCCGGCGAGGACACCAAGGCGGCGTACTGGGTGCACGCGTGGACCGTGGGCTCCGATGGGGTGATCACCCAGCTCCGCGAGTACTTCAACACCGACCTCACCGTCACCCGCCTCGCCGCCGCCGCCGCGTCCAAGTGCGTCTGGCAGAGCCGCCGCCCCGACCGCGCCCGCAACTCCCTCCCCGGCCTCGTCCTCGCCCTCTAGCCGCCCAAGCCAAGCCAAAGCCAAGCTGGACGACGCCCACCACTTGGGCTTGGGCGTACGCATGGGCTGACGTTGCTTCTTCAATTCTTCTTCATCCCCTGCTCTGCTCTCCCTAGCCTGTTGTTTCTTCTTTGCGTGTCTGGTGAACGTACGTAGTATAGCTGAATAGCCGATCGAACCGGCCGGTGATGGCGACGCCGCGCCGTCATGGCGGCTGCGTCTTCACTGCTACTGCTTGTATGTCTTCGTGGTTGCTGTCATGGTGTGATAATAATAATAATGGAAGTTTGCTTGTACTGGACGTAATTAATCTTCACCGCAATTCGCAAATTTCTATCCGGTCGCTCTGTTGATTTGTTCATACTGGCCTTTGACCAGTTGATGATTTTGATTGCAGTTGAAATTAACGGTTGACCACAGTTTTCATCCTTGACCTGCGTGCGCAGTAGACAGTCAGGCTTTAATGTCTGATCATACTCTAACAGAAGAACATCTTTTCCCCGCAAAAAAAAAAACATTTTTACATAGGGACATAGAGCAGTATATTATTACCTCTGTTTTGTTTCACCGGTCTACCAAAACGTCTTATATTTTGAAATGGAGGTAGTATATTACTAGTGCAAACAAAGCATATACACCAATAAAGTTCAGAGGCATAGGCTGATTAAGTTCAGATTGATGTCGAAAAATTCCAACGAAAGAAGAAAGAAAGAGATATTCCCATGGCACCTAATTTGATTTGATTTAGTTTGAGAAAAGCAAACAAGACTTGCCCTGAAAGCAAGGATCGAGCTGGGCTGGAACTGAAAGACAAGACAGGACTGAAAGGGGGGGAAAGGTAGTGGCGATCTACTCGTCGACAATCCCCAAATCAAACGTTGCTTTCCGGCGTCCAGACCGAACTAGTCCATCTTCTGAACTCTGATTTCAAGTTGAAGAATTATACTGTACTTGGGAGTCACAGGGCCACCATGTTGCAGCATATTGTGCACGTTGTGGTGATCACCTAGTGTGCATCTCAGATAACAAGGTGGGTGTCGAAGAATATGTCCTGATGCCCAGCCCCAACCAAATGATCCGAATAATGGGAGGGACCGAGCATTAGGAACCGGCATCTCCGACCATGCCGGCCTAGCTAGTGGTAGTGGTAGTTGGGATGAACATGACCCATGAAGCTACAAGACATCTCTGAAAGGGAACGAAGAAAACGATACGTCGTCGTAAGTAAAAAGGCTAATGGCACGTCGATCCAACATATCAATTTCAACCATAGTGTAAATAATGTGCCAATTTGGCAATTAGAGAAATTAATTGACTTTTAACAGCGACGCTTTTCTGAACCCGCACTTTCTTAGTAGTTACAGAGGGTGAGCCACTGTCAAGCTCGGCAGATGGACAAGGCTGTTTGATGTTACTGCTTGTGAGTTAGACCCATAGAGTAGCATTGGAGAAATAAAATTCA